AGCTCTTGTAAGGCAGGTCTGGTGGTAATAAATTCCCTCAGCATTTGCTTGTCTTAAAAGGATCTTCTTATTTCTGTTTTGCTTATAAATCTTAGTTTAGCTGAATATGAAATTCTGGGTTGGAATATCTTTTCTTTAAGAATGTTAAATATTGATCCCAAATCTCTTCTGGCTTGTAAGGTTTCTGTTGAGAGGTCCACTTTTAGTCTGAGGGGCTTCCCTTTGTAGGTTTCCTGACCTTTCTCTCCAGCTGTCTTTAACATTTTTTCTTTTATTTCAACCTCAGAGAATCTGATGATTACATGTCTTAGGGATGATCTTGTTTCTTACTGGGGCTTTCTGCATTTTTTGAATTTGAATGTGGCCTCTCTAGCTAGGTTGGGAAAGTTCTCACGGATAATATCCCAAAATATGTTTTCAAAGTTGCTTCCACCCTCTGCTTTTCTTTCAGGGATACCAATGAGTCATAGATTCATTCTCTTTGAATAATCTTACATTTCTTGAATGTTTTGTTTCTTCTAATTCTTTTTTTCACTATTCTTGTCTAACTGTCTTATTTCAGAAAGCCAGTCTTCAAGCTCTGAGATTCTTTTCTCTATGTGGTGTATTCTGCTGTTAATACTTGTGATTGCATCATAAAATTATTGGACTGGGATTTTTAGTTCTATCACATCAGTTATGCTCTTTTCTGTAGTGGCTATTTTGTCTGTCAGCTCCTACACTGTTTTGTCATGATTTTTAGCTTCCTTGTATTAGGTTTCAATGTATGCATGTAGCTCAATGATCTTCATTTCTATCCATGTTCTGAATCCTATTTCTGTCATTTTAGCCATCTCAACTTGGTTCAGAACCCTTCCTGGAGAGGCAACGTAGCCATTTGGAGGAAAGAAAGCACTCCAGCTTTTGGGGCATTCAGGGTTCTTGCACTGATTCTTTCTCAACTTTCTCAGTTTATGTACCTTCAATCTTTGAGGTTGCTGACTTTGGATGGGCTTTTTTTTTCTTTCATTTATTGTATTTGATGGCCCTAGAATTTGATTGTGGTAAAACATCGATCCAGCCAACTGGTTTTGTTTCTGGGAGATTTTAGGAGCCAACACTCAGCTCCCAAATCTTGGACTTCGTGCTCTCCGGGAGAATTATATTGGACACCAGCTTCATTTTCTGACTCCTGGAGGTTTGGAATCAGATGGAGAAAGTCATACATGCAGGCTGAGATTGAGGTCAGTGTGAGACCTCCCATCCCCTGCTCTGGAATCAGATGGAGGAAGGCATGCATGCAGGCCAAGCTGGAGAGATGAGCTAGAGTGGGCAGAACAGTCCTCCCATGACCCTAGACCTTAAGTGCTCCCACATGTTCTCAGGCATGTATCAAACCAAGAAAGCAGGCTAGGAGGGTAACACAGCTACATGTATACAGGGAGCTATGAAATACCTGAGCTGAGTAAGTGATGCACAAGGAGACAGAAGCGGTATGACCTTTACACAGTGACCTGGCTCAAATAATTTCAGGCTCTCATTAACCAGGCGAGCTCCGCTTCCTCTCTGGGGTAGGTAAACTTGAGGGGTAAAGTGGGAGTTGGGGAAAATGGAAAAGAAAGCCTGGTAGTATTTCTTCTAACTCTGTTATAAATAAAAGGTAAAACACAAATGCCTTTTCTCAGGACCCAAATGTTAGGTAAAAAAATGTTTGTCGTCTCAGTCATGTGATGTGGACTTGAGCAGAGCAGTACACACATGGTCATTATTCCTTTCCCTCTGCATGTTGTGTGCTTTTTCAGTTTTATAATTTACCTGATCAACTTGTCTCATCACACTAGCTGCAAACAAGGCCACTGAATGTCACACCAGGTGGCCAGCATGTCTGTGAAGGGCAGAAACTGGGGCAGCCAAACAGCTGGCAGAGGCCCACTAGTAAGTCCTCGATGCCCACTCCATAGAGGACTCTATGCTTAAAAGACAAGATAAGCAAGTATCAGGCTGCCTCACTAGTTATGCTCCCAAATAAAAAAATAAAAGTAACCACTCCAGGGAATGTGTGTGTACACACAAAAGTACATACACACAGCCACATGCAAAGGTGAAAGGCTGGGAAAGAACCAAATCCAGCTCTGAACACCAGTTACTTGTGGGGAAGGGGCAGGTGAAGCCGCCTGTCAGCATTACTCACCTTTTCAACTGATGAGCTTGCATCAACTTTGGCAATTTCTCATAAAAAGGCAATTTTCACTCCTTGGGTGATCACCCAGGTCCTGCGAAACTGAGCCACCAACAACCACCTGCACCACTTCCCATGAGGTCAAATAATGGCTTCCCTCAAAGCTCAGCCCTCCCACCCACCTCCCAATCCTGTCCCATGCAGGGGGCTACCGGCCTCCTGGGGTGCAGGGGTCCAGGCCAAACCCAAGATGGTTGGTAAAACCAACATGTATCCAAGGGCCTTTCCCCAACCTGGGCCGTGTGCCCACTGCATAGATATGCCTGTGCTTGCTACCCTAGGACAGAGACTCCCTTTTCTTCAGTTGGAATGAGGGATGGGGAGATTTGATGGTGTCCTGTACAGGTTGGATGTTAATCTGATGTGGTGCTCTTGGAGAAGCTTGCCTGAGTTCGGCACTTTCTCAGCACGTGGTGTGTGCTGCCCCTTCGAGCTTCAGAAGTCCCAGAAGGTAAGTGCTTCCGCAATCCCCATTTACTGCTGAACAGAACTCAGGTGATCTGCCGCTGACCAAGCAGCTTCTAAGTGGCCAACAGGCTGGATCTGCCTCTCAGTTGCAGAGGCCCTGCCTGGCTGCTGGGGCTGCCCTGAGACTCCTGCATCCTCCTCTTCCCTCCACAACTTTCCCGGCTTCTATCCACAGTTGTTCTCCAGGTGGGGAACACCTGTGGGTGCACCAGGGTGCAAATACTCAGACTCCAGCATGCAGAAGAGCCTCGGCTCCATGCTGTTTCAATATCCAAGCCCAAGCTTGTCTAGAGCTTCAGCAAATCCAAGCCTCCCTGAATTTCTTGCAAGGCCAATCTGAGCCCTACAACCTCACTACGCTGGTTAGCTGCCAGTCCCAGCCCCTGCTCCCTCCTCGGCCCCCGTCTGCACATTTCTGAAGTCCTACAAGAATGTTGAGAACCTAAGCTGACTCTCACCCAAGGAGGTAAATAACCAGGGGCCTCCAGGGGTAGAGAACATACCCAGACTGTTCTGCTGCCTGTAGGCTTGATGTCCTTCCCCTACAACACACCATGCTTACCAGGCTGGAAGAGGGGCTCCAGAAACTTGGGAACCTTGGGCCTGTAACTGGCATATGGAAAAGAGGCCTGGAAAAGCACCACTCCTGTCCATGAAGCCCCCAGATGGAACCAGGTAATTGGGAAATACATGGGCACCAAGCCTGACCGCCACTCAGACCCAGGTGGGAACTGCATCAGTGACTTGCCCCCTCTGCCACTCTGGCTGAACCACTACAGGAGGAAGGAGCATCTAGCCCCATGTGTGAGTGGAGACATTAGGTGTGGGCAGGTTCCAGTGGTTGCTACAGCTGAACCTTCCCAACCAGGTCCATGCAAGGCCATCACAGATGGGTGCACACCTGGGTTGGGCAAGGACACCCCTCAGAGTGAGAGCCAATGAGCAGGGCTGTCACAGAGGCCCCTTTTCCAGCTCCAAGAACAGGTTGGGGGGGAGTATGGGGGACCTCTCCCCTCTTCCAGCTGCTTCTAGGAGCCACTTCTTTCCAGATGAGGCACTCTCCTGCCTGCCCGTTCCCATTTGGCTGCAATACACCATTGTCAACATTCAGAGAACAAAAAGGGGCCTCACCTGTTTCCCTGACATGTCGGAGGCAGGTGGGTATGTCCAGGGGAACTGGGGTAGAACCTATACATCGGCCCATCCCCAGGCTATGCTGGCTTCATCTTATCTGCGTGATGGGGGTGGGGTGGGAATTACCAAGAGGCCATCACGCAGGCCATGGACAAGTTCTACAAGAGCCAGGTAGAAGAGAACCGTCCGTGCATGCTGCCCGGCCCCAGCTCACACACACACCTCTCTTATTTGACAGCTTCCCCAAAGCAGGCTTTGAAGTCCAGGCTCCCCGAGAAACCTGGGGAGGAGACTTTGCCAGGCTAAAGGACCTATCCCCAAAGGTGCCACCCTCACCAGTCTCATCCTGACAATCTTGGGTTATTTTTGCCCTGAAGTTTTGGAGTGGGGGACAGGGAGACAGCAGACAGTATGCATTAGCCACTTTTCCAGAGAGCATCAGCCCTCCAGACTGGGGCGGGTCAGACCTCCACTCGGGGGTTTTTCTCACTGGTTGCCAGTTGGGGGAAGCAGCATTGTGAGCACCTGCCCGACTCCCCAGGTCCTGCTCAGAAACCCCATCTGTGCCTCTGGAGAGACTGCCCCGAGCACACAGGCCCAGCAACCGCCATCTATGGCCCCCAGGACCTAATCCCCTTCTACATAGGGTTCAGTGCATGTGAGTATATGCTGGGCTTGATTCCTGCCCACTCATCCCTGCCAGATATCCCATGTCCACCTCAAGAGAATGAGGCCACACAAACACACCCAGGCCGTCATGGTGATGGAGCAGCTGGGGTCTTACTTGCCCACCCTTCATTGCTGGTTCAGAGCCTGACCACATTACTATGCTGGGATGGGACTTTGGGGACATTGCCCACCAGGGTCACTGATCACTTTTAGAGTTGCAGAAACAGAGGGCCACCTGGTCCCCTAGAAGTCTGGAACATGGGATAAGCCAAGGCTTGCCTTCAGGACCAGGTTTTCCACCACGCAGCTGCCCAAGGCCCAGGACATCCCCAAGTTCATGTGAAGCCTGCCTGTTATGTCCACAGCCCATGCCAACCCCTCCTGGAGTCACTGGAATGCTTGTTCCTGGGCATGTGATAAACCCAGACAGCTTCAGCCTTGCAGGACAACGATGCACACCTGGCAGCAGTAGCCGGAGGGCCCATAGAAAGAAGTTGGAGGTGAAGCCAGATGCTATGAGAATGCTTTATTAGGCAAAATCGTATACTGTGAAAATGTTTTGAAATGCAGCAGGAGGAGAGGTGAAGACACAAACGAACAAGTGCGTAGTGACACATGGCAGTCAGAACACAGTGAAGAATCCACACTGCTTCCCCCCTATACCTAGAAAAGGAAAGTTCTAGGCCTCCATCTCCTCCTCCACCTCCTCCTCCTCCTCCTCCTCCTCGGCATCCTGATGCTGTTGGTACTCAGACACCAGGTCTTTTATGTTGCTCTCCGCCTGAGTAAATTCCATCTCATCCATCCCCTGGCCCTTATACCAATGGAGGAAGGCCTTGCGCCGGAACATTACTGTACACTGCTCTGAGACACGCTTGAAGAGTTCCTCGATGGCCGTGTTGTTCCCAATGAAGGTGGCTGACCTGTCTAGCCCCCGGGGGGGGATGTCACAGACGGTTGTTTTGACGTTGTGGGGGAGCCAGTCAGCAAAGTCCCTGCTTTTTTTATTTCGGAGGCAGAACATGTGTTCATCCACCTCCCTCGTGGTTATGCGACCCCTGAAAATGGCAGCCGCCCTTAGGTAGCGGCCATGACGGGGGTTGCAAGCGGCCATCATATTCCTAGCATCGAACATCTGCTGGGTAAGCTCTGTCACGGTCAAGGCCCGGTAGGGCTGGCTGCACTGGCTGGTCAGTGGGGCAAAACTAGACAGGAAGAAATGCAGCCGGGGAGATGGGATCATGTTCTTGGCCAGCTTCCGCAGGTCAGCATTCAGCTGGCCTGGGAAGCGCAGGGGCGTGGTGACCCCACTCATGGTGGCAGACACCAGGTGGTTCAGGTCACCATAGGTGGGTGTGGGCAGTTTTAGGGTCCTGGAACAGATGTTGAATAACGCTTGGTTGTCTATGCAGAAGGTCTCATCTGCATTTCCTATGAGCTGGTTAACCGACAAGGTGGCGTTATACGGTTCCACCACCGTGGTGGACACCTTGGGCGAGGGCAGGACGCTGAATGTGTTTATGATCCTGTCTGGGTACTCCTCCCGGATCTTACTGAGCAGAAGGGTACCCATCCCAGACCCCGTCCCCCCACCCAGGGAGTGGGTCAGCTGGAAACCCTGCAGCCAGTCACAGCTCTCAGCCTCCTTTCTGACAACTTCCATCACTGACTCCATCAGCTCCGCGCCTTCTGTGTAGTGCCCCTTGGCCCAGTTGTTTCCAGCCCCACACTGACCTGTAAGACAGTACAGCCAGTCACTCGATGGCCATGTAGATGGTCATCAGTGGTCACCAGAATGCAAAAGAGGCCAAGTGTCACGTGTGAGGTGAGAGCACCATTCGCCCTGGAAGTGGAGCAAATGAAACCCCCTCCCCTAGAGTTACAGGACAGTAACTTCCCCTGTTAAAAATTAAGTCAGGAGTCAAACCTGAGACAGGCTAACAGACTTCGCTGTGGGTGGCTCCTGCCCATTTTCAGGGAAGGCAGTAGCTATGGCCCCAGCTCAGCTCCCTGCAGGGAGTTTACATCAGTAGCTCTTCACCTTGAGGAGACACCTGGGCCTTCCTGCCAAAGCCCTTTTAGGAGGCAAGTGAAGCGACTTGACTCAGAGGATAGGAGGGTGTTCAGGGGCCCTGGCTCCACAATTCCCATCGCTTGGGGCACTCCTAGATTTTGAGCCGCTAAAGAACCTCACCCCAGTCCTCACCCACAACTCACCAAAGATGAAGTTGTCTGGCCTGAAGATCTGCCCGAAGGGCCCAGAGCGCACAGAGTCCATGGTGCCCGGCTCCAGATCCACCAGTACAGCGCGGGGCACGTACCTGCCATCTGAGAGGGGCAGGAGGGCATGAGCAAGGGGAGGGCTGCGTTCCCAGGAGGGTGGTGGGGGAAGGTCGGGGGTCTCACCGCAGGCCTCGTTGTAGTACACGTTGATGTGCTCCAGCTGCCCCTGGTTGTCCCCTTGATAGGTGCCAGTGGAGTCGATGGCATGTTCATCAGAGATCGTCTCCCAGAACTGCGAGATGGGAGGGACCAGACACGCCAGGGCTGAGCCACGGGGGTGCCCCAGCTCCTCTCCCACCCCCACCCTCATCCGCACCCCCATCCCTAGGCCGCCGTGTCCCTGGGGTCCACCCCGGCCATCTCGCCAGCCGCCCAGTCGTCCCACCGCGCCCCCGGCAGGGAGCCCAGGGGCTGCAGGGCAGGGGCCCTGACCCCGCCACTGCCAACATCTTCCTAGGCCACCCACAGGCCTGAGCTGGGCCCTCAGAGACCCAGCTGCCAACCTTGACGCCCATCCGGTTCCCACACTGTCCGGCCTGCATGAACACGATCTCCCTCATGGCTAAGGCGGGATCAGGGCAGCAGGAGAAACGCGAGGAGGAGGAGCAAACAGGCAGTGACCCAGCCTGCCCTCCGCTGATGCTGAAATAGCCCCGTACCAACCTCCCTCAGCCTCGGATTGAGCTCCCAGAATAAGCAACATCTTTACTTCCACACAGGTGTATCCACCTGTGAATCCCTCTGTTGGAGAGCTCAGGTGTCCTTGCTGTGGTCCTTTCCACATTGGGGAAAGCTGGTCAGCTGGAGAACTTCCTCCCACGTCTTTACTAAGACTAAATCCCTAGCTGAACTGAAACTCAATTTTCCTCCCATGTGGGAGGGGAAGACTCTAGTTTCCATACTCACAGAGTGCCTTGCACCTGCCCTAGATTGATGACATATTTTTGTAATTGATGAGTGCTTTCCTCTGTTAGGAGATCCGTGGTTAGGAAAGGCCTTCCATATGTTAACTTGACAGGACTTCGTTATAAGTTTTACTTTGGAGTAGTTCAAACTCTCAGTAAGCTGTGAGTGTTAGAGACAGTCAGGCCTCTGATTTAGCTAGAGTCTTCTTCAGAGTAGGACTAGCCCTTTCACCTTTCCAGAGGACTGCAGTCTCCACACAGAGTGAAGGTAATATTGGATTCTTCAAGCTGAGGATAGGTGTTGGGATATGCCTGCTGTGAAAGATGGGCCATTGTCACTTTGCAGGTTTTTAGATGACCCAAACTCAGGAGTTATTTCTTCTGGTAAACATTTTTTCAGATGGGGTGGGGAATGCCTCGATCTAACCAGTGAAGGTATCAGTGAGCATTAGGAAATATTTGAATCTCCTGCAGAAAGGCATCTGAGTACATTAGAGTTGCCAGTTCTCACCTGGATGTTGGACAGGTTTAACTGGAGAAGGGGAGAATTGCTGACTGTTTGGATCATGTCAGGCACAGAGCATGCAGGTGTCAGCTGATTGATTCTGTGTGGATTGTTTTCCTTGGAGTGGGAGTCTTGTCTTGGTGTCCTTTCATGGTGTTGCTGAAAGATGTTGCTAGAAAAGAGGGTCCTAAATCTGACCACAAAGTAGGATTCTTAGATCTTGTGCAGGAAAAAATTTGAGGTGAGTCTGTACAATGAAAGAAGCAAGTTTATTAGAAATGACTTCATTACAGAGTTGGACATTCTCAGAAAACAAGAGCAGGAATGTACCGTCTTTTGTTAGTGTCTCTACTTGTAAGTAACTATAAAGAGAAAGAGTTATAATTATACTTGGAAGGTGCAGATGTACTCACTAAAGTCAGGGGCTATTTGTTTTAACAATAACCATTAACCCATTGACCTAAGCTAGCTCATTAATATTAATCCTTACAAAAAAAATACTGTACTCCAATGACATTTATACACTTTTCAGATCTGGTAGAAAGTGTCTTGTAAGGCCACAAATACTCTGTAATTGTAATTTGTGGCCAGCTAAAAAATGTGGCTATTTTCAGACCATAAGTATTAACCTTATAGATGCCTTGTGAGTACTTATGTGTTTATTTATTATTATTTTGAGACAGAGTCTTGCTCTGTTGCCCAGGCTGGAGTGCAGTGCACCACCTTGGCTCATTGAAACCTCCACCTCCTGTGTTCAAGCAATTCTCCTGCCTCAGCTTCCCAGGTAGCTGCGATTACAGGCATGAATCACCACATGCAGCCAATTTTTGTGTCTTTAGTAGAGATGGGGTTTCACTCCGTTTGCTGGGCTGGTCTCAAACCCCTGACAACAAGCGATCTGCCCACCTTGGCTTCCCAAATTGCTGAGATTATAGGCATGAGCCACCACTCCCAGCCACAACGAGGTTTTTAAATAATTCAAACTTGGGCCGGGCGTGGTGGCTCAAGCCTGTAATCCCAGCACTTTGGGAGGCCGAGACGGGTGGATCACAAGGTCAGGAGATCGAGACCATCCTGGCTAACACAGTGAAACCCCGTCTCTACTAAAAAATACAAAAAACTAGCCGGGCGAGCTGGCGGGCGCCTGTGGTCCCAGCTACTCAGGAGGCTGGGGCAGGAGAATGGCATGAACCCGGGAGGCGGAGCTTGCAGTGAGCTGAGATCAGGCCACTGCACTCCAGCCTGGGCGACAGAGCGAGACTCCATCTCAAAAAAAAAAAAAATAATAATAATAATTCAAACTGATTTCCTGCTGTTGAGCAGGGAGCTGAGCAAATTTAACAGATCGTGGGCCTAAAGTAGGAGAAGACTAAGGACAAACTCTAGAACACATGTGATTAAATTAATTACAATTGAAACCAAATCAAATTTAATGAGGCTGTACCTCTTTGTTTCAAGATGTTTCCCCACATTTTGAAATGTGGTGTTATTCAGTGGAAAAGAAAAATAGTGTTTATCTCCAGAGCAAAGAACAGGGTTCCCTGGAGGGATCGATTGACTGAGAGTTATGGCTCAGGATTAAAAATCCTTTTTTCTGCTAATAAACTAAAAATTATTTTCTAAGCTCCTATTGACTAAATGGACCCCTCTTCTTGGATAAGGACTTTCCAAAGTTCACCTGAAAAGCTAGTTCAAGCCACGGGTCACACATTCCTCATTATACCCTCCTCCCTTTGGTTTTAATTTTCAGTTTTTAATTTATTTTTGTGAGTACATAGTTGGTGTACATATTTATGGGGGTACATGACATACTTTGATATAGGCATGCAGTAATACATAATAAAAAATGGGGTGTCCATCCCCTCAAGCATTTATAGCTTGTGTTATCAACAATCCAATTATACCCTTTTGGGTTTTTTTTGTTTGTTTGTTTTCTTTGAAATGGAGTCTCACTCTGTTGCCCAGGCTGGAGTGCAGTGGCCGGATCTCAGCTCACTGCAAGCTCTGCTTCCTGGGTTTACGCCATTCTCCTGTCTCAGCCTCCCGAGTAGCTGGGACTACAGGCACCCTCCACCTTGCCTGGCTAGTTTTTTGTATTTTTTAGTAGAGACGGGGTTTCACCGGGTTAGTCAGGATGGTCTCAATCTCCTGACCTCGTGATCTGCCCATCTCGGCCTCCCAAAGTGCTGGGATTACAGGCTTGAGCCACCGTGCCCAGCCTCTTTTAGGTTTTTAAAATGTAAGTTAAATTATTTTTTACTATAATCACTCTGTTGTCCTATCAAATAATGTCTTATTCATTCTTTCTGACCATTTTATTTTACCCATTTAGCATCCCCACTATCCCCCTGTTCCCTCACTGCCCTTTCCAGCCTCTGGTGACCATCCTTATACTCTCTATCTCTATGACACCAATTGTTTTGAATTTTAGCACCCATGAATAAGTGAGAACATGTGACATTTGTCTTTCTGTGCCTGACTTATTTCACTTAACATAAAGACTTTCAGTTTCATTTATGTTATTGCAAGTGGCAGACTCTCATTCTTTCTTATAGCTGAATAGTACTACATTGTGTATATGTACCACATTTTCTCTATCAACAGTCATCTGTTGACGGACATTTAGGTTCCTTCCAAATCTTGGCTATTATAAACCCTGCTGTAGCAAGCATGAGAGTGCCAATATGTCTTTGATTTACAATATGTCTTTGAATTTATTTCCTTTAGGAATATACTGAACAGTGGGATTGCTGGACCATATAGTGGCTCTATTTTTAGTTAAATCAGGAACATCCAAACTGTCCTTAATTGTGCTCCCAACAACAGTGTACAAGGGTTCCCTTCACTCCACATACTCACCAGCATTTGTTTTTGACTGACTTCTGGATAAAAGCCACCTTAACTGGGGTGAAATGATATCTCATTTTGGGTTTGATTTGCATTTCTATAATGATCAGTGATGTGGAGCACCTTTTCCTTTGCCTGTTTAACATTTGTATGTCTTCTTTTCATAAATGTCTATTTAAATTTTTTGTCCACTCTTTAATTGGATTATTACATTTTTTCTACAGAATTTTTTGAACTCAATATATTGTAGTGTATCAGTCTGTTTCTGCACTGCTATAAAAATTACCTGAGACTGGGTTATCTATTTACTGAGATGAAGTCTTGATCTGTTGCCCAGGCTGAAGTGCAATGGGGCAATCTTGGCTCACTGCAACCTCCGCCTCCTGGTTCAAGCAATTCTCTGCCTCAGCCTCCTGAGTAGCTGGGATTACAGGCACCTGCCACCATGCCTGGCTAATTTTTGTATTTTTAGTAGAGATGGGGTTTCGCCATCTTGGTCAGGCTGGTCTTGAACTCTTGACCTTGTGATCCACCTGCCTCGGCTTCCCAAAGTGGTGAGATTACAGGCATGCATCACCACACCTGGCAAGACTGGGTAATTTATAAAGAAAATGGATTTAATTGACTCACAGTTCCACATGGCTGGGGAGGCCTCAGGAAACTTACAATCATGGTAGATGGGGAAGCAGGCACATGTTCCATGACAGCAGGTGAGAGAGCATGTATGTGAAGCAAAGGGAGAAAAGCCCCTTATAAAACCATCTGATTTCATGAGAACTCACTCACTATCAGAAGAACAGCATGGGGGAAACCACCCCCATGATCCAATCACCTTCTACCAGGTCTCTCCCTCAAAACCTGGGGATTACAATTCAATATGAGATTTGGGTGGGGACACAAAGCTTAACCATATCATGTAGCTATTAATTGCTTTTCAAATGGATAATTTACAAATATTTTCTCCCGTTCTGTGGATTTTTTCCTCACTTTGTTTATTGTTCCCTTCACTTTAAAAAGGCTTTCTGACTTACTGTAATCCCAGTTGTCCATGTTTTTTTTGGTTGTCTGTGCTTATGGGGCATTATTTAAGAAATTTTTGCCCAAACCAGTGCCCTAAAGAGTTTCCCCAATGTTTTCTTGTAAAAGTTTGATAATTTGAGATGTTAGGTTTAAGTCTTTAATTCATTTTAATTTCATTTTTGTATGTGGCAAGAAATAGGGTTCTAGTTTTATTCTTCTGCCTATGGCTTGCCAGTTTTCCCAGCCCATTTATTACAAAAACTCTTATTTTTTATTGTATGTTCTTGGCACTTTCGTTGAAAATAAGTTTAGTTTAGCTGTATGAGTTTGTTTCTAAAGTCTCTAGTTTGTTCCATTTGTCGTTATGTCTG